CTGGGCAAGGGTGGTAGCCCCGCCGATCGCCTGCCTCGGAGGAAACCCGACCTGGGCTCGCCGCCCCTTAAGACCCCTCCTTCCCTGGCTGCCTGCCCCCCAGCTCCTCCCCATTCTCCTCCCCCTTCTGCAGCAGCGGCCCCCGCGGCTCCCCGCCCGCCCCCCCCCCCCCCCCCCGTCTCCTCCCGCCGCTGCTCCGGGGAGCCGGCGGGCGTCCTGGCGCCGCTGCACCCTCTCCCCGCCAGGCCCCTAGCCGAGCAGCCCTCCGATCGCCAGGACTTAGAGGCGAAGGTGGAGGGATTATCCCGGGGCGCGCTGCAACAAAGGCCGAGGGGGAGAGGGTGGACAGCACCGAAACCCCACCCGGGGGAGGGGCGCTGGCGTGCGGCAGTCCTGGCGGGCAGCTGGCGCGGGCTGCGGTGGCGGCCAGGTGGGCGGTGCCGCAGGGGACCCGGCCGGGATTGGGACCCGAACCTGGAGGAAAAGGCGCTCTGCGGCCTGGGGAGCCGAAGCCGACCCCCGGAGCTGAAAGGAAGAAAGCCGGCGGCGCAGAGGGGCCCCCGCCGCCCGGGTCAAGGGTGTCACTGCAGTCCAAGTGCGGGGAAGTGGGCGCAGGGACCGGGAGGCGGGCCGAGTGGGGAAGGCTACTTTAGTTCGACTGTGGATTTCCTGGGGAAGGGGTAGCAGTGCCGCCTCTGCTGGGAAGACCCCGCGTCCTGCGTTTGCCCGCAGCTTCATGCGGCCCTCCCCTCAGGTCTTGGAGCAGGGTCCTCCTCGCGCCCGCCCAATCCTCACTTGTCACTGCGTGCACCCCTGCCATCTCTGGCTCTTGCTCTGCTTCTCGTCACCCGCCAGCTTCTTCCCAGCGGCCTTGACTACGTGCTGCCTGGCGGACCGTGTTGATGCCCTAAATTAAGGCTTCTTACTTGCCCTGAGAACAAATCCACTTGGCACCTCCGATTTAGCATGGCCAAGCAGAGCCCACGTCCCGCTAGCTCCCAGGCCTGCTTCTCCACCTCGTTCAGCGTGGTTGCTTCCCAAACCTATCTCCTTTTCCCAGAGCCGGACTGTCACCATAGCCTGGCAGTTTTCCGTTTGAGATCTCATATACTTCCTCTCACCCCCGATTACAGATCCACTTCCCTAACCTGACCTCCATGCCTCACTGAGGAACTGTGGAAACTGCTTTGAGCATCCTCTGGCTCTCTCTGGCTCTGATTTAGGCATTGTCTTCCTCCTGTTCTTTCTCTACTCAGAAACTTTCAGCACTCTCTTCCCCCAATCCAAGTCAAACTCTCTGCCTTCCTTGCCAGCCCTCCTGCTGGGTCCACCCTATCCATCCAACTCCACTTCAACTGCTTCAGATCACTTCCCTCTCTCAAATCAGGTCAATCTCAATGACCTCTATTTACTCCGTTCACCCCTCTACCAGGTTTGCTGAGTGCCTGCCGTTGTGGTTTTAAGGGGATTTAAAATAACACCTAGATGTTCCTCATGCAAGTTCAGAATCCCCTGGGCAGTCCCGAGAGTCCATCTGACAGAGAAAATGTCAGTTTTGTCCGTGATAAAAGCTGGAATGATGACCATGCCTGTAGGTCAGCCGTTAGCTCACTCCACAATTGAACATATCTCAAGCAGAGTTGAAAACCCGGTTGTGTAAACGGACTGCATGGGAAGGCAGAAAATGCATGCTCCCTGGGGCATGCCTGTGCTCCGAACGAACGAACGAGAGGAGGCTAGCTCTTTCAAGTTCACCAGTTGCTCCTACTTCCTTATACTGGCGACCAGGGGACTAGAGACTAGATATGCCCCATCAGACACCTGGTCCCAGTGTCGAAGGAAACTATGACTATGACGTACCAGTTTTACTTTTACCCTCTAATGACACCAGTACTTTGCATCCCTTGCACACGTGCTGCACCCTGTCAGAATCTGGCATGGTCTCCTTTCCTTCCTGCCTCCTTCCGTCAGTTGAAATTCTGTTTTGTTTTCAAAAACCCAGTCAAATTTCATTGCTTCTATAGCACCTTTTCTGACAAACGGCGTGGCATAGTAAAAAGCACATGAGATGTGAGGTCAAAGCAAACCCGCTTTCAATCCTGTCATCGCCATTTACCAGCTGTGTGACCTTCATCCAATTACTGAAGCTCTCTGAGCCTAGGTTTGTACAACTGACAAACGGTAGTGATGGTGCAGGGGGTCATGAAATTTCAACAAATGCATTATAAAAAGTGCCTGGCAGGTAGTAGACCCCTGGAAGTGGCCACCATTAGTATTTCATCTGCTTTGCATCTAAATTGCAGTTGGTACTATAACCAGGTACTAAGAGAGCTATTCAACATGTCTTATTTTATTCACTTATCATGACACACTTAATGGTATTTTTTATTGCTTCTGTTTTCCAAATAAGAAAACTGAAGCTTAGAAAAATTTAGATAGTTTCCCAAGGTTACACAATTAGGTATACAGCCTTACAACTTGACGATTTATTATACACCGTTATACAATATTTAATAGTTGTTCTTGATTCTCCAACTAGATTTTAAATTGCTTCAACGCATTAATGGTATTTTTCATATCTTTATCTCTCTATAGTTGGAGCACAATTAATGGGTCTGAGTATATGAAAATGAAAGACTCCTGCTCAGTCAGGATGCCATAGGTAAAATGCCAGGCGATATCAATATCTAAGACTCACATGGAACTCAAAACTACAACACACACACAAACACACACACACACAATAAATCAGTAAGAACATGACAGGAAATGCAATAGAAAAAATGCGCAAAAGATATAAACAGGAGATTCCCAAATGGGAAACCCCAAGTGAACAATAAGTGTAGAAAAGATATTCAAAGGCACTGCTTTTATTTAAATTGCACAACAACCTATGAAATCAGATTGTTTTATTACTTCCATGTTATAAATAGGGAAACTGAGACATAGTTTAGTCTCTCCAAGGTTACACAATAAATGGCAAATAGCACTTTATACTCATAATAGTAGTGAAAATTAGACAGTATCAAATGCTGGTAGTGAGTAGCGCGATCTTTCTGGTGTACAGAAAATTAGGTTTGTGAGACAGATTGGTTCAAAACAGCCTTAGTAGCCTTGGCTTTACTATTTACTATATAACATCAGGTAAACTACTTAACTTCTCTGCATATCAGTTTCTTCATCTGTAAAACCGAGTGTATGAGTACTGAGTCCATTGGGTTATTCCACACATTAAATGGATCAAGATGTAAAGTACTTAGAACAGTGCCTGAAACATAATAAGCATATAATTAATGTGCTCTATGATGGAAATGACTCAATAGAGTGATTTCTTAAAAAATGATTTTTTCCATGAGGGAAA